TCAATTATATAAGATTTGTTATGTTTAACTCATTTAACTATATTCAGTAAGTAGATAAGTGGAAGTAGAATATTTTTAGCCTTTTTCAAATGAACCATCACAATGTCCCCATAATAAATTGAGTGACTTCTGTTGAGTTTAATCATGTGTGAAAGTCTGTTGAAATGGTCCCCGTAAAGAAGGAATAGAAGTGTTTGAAATGGTCCTAAAAAGGTCCCCATAACGCACTAGGAGTGACTGATGATGAGTGGAATTGTTTGTGAAAGTTCATTGAATTGGTCCCCATGAAGGAATTGAGAGGGGTGTGAAAAGGTCCTCATGAGACGTGTTCCAGACTCTAGATGTGTGTGTGTACAAACAAGTTGGGTTTACATCTGTCAAACTATGATTTGTGTACTGCTGGTAATACTTGGGCCCCCTTGGGTGGTTCTTTAAATTTAAATTTGTGATCTCTGTTCTAGACCATGATTATTTTAGTGTTTTATTAAAAATCCTTATACCTTCTGTCTCCCACGGATGACCCATGTGACAGCAGATGGCTCAACTACAGGTTTTCTTGATCATTCTGACCAGCCTCAGTGCCACATGAATATGTCATTTGGAAACGATGCCTATCAGATTAAGGTAAGATCATATTTATCAATCATGACAAAATACCAGAGGTTCTTTGTCAGTTCTGAAATGTTTTTTATAACATCTGAAGTCAATTATCTTAGATTTGTTATGTGTCACTCGTTAAACTATATTCAGTAAGTGGAATTGTCGAAGGAAAGTATTTTTTACCTTTTTTTGGTCATGGCAGACGAGAACTTTTTACTCAAATGTTTCTTTAAATTGAACTCTCCCGATGTCCCCATAATACACTTTGAGTGACTTCTATTAAACATGTGTGAAAGTCCATTGAATTGGTCCCCGTAAAGGAGGAATGGAAGTGTGTGAAATGACCATCAAAATGTCCCCATAACACACTTTGAGTGACTGCTGATGAGTTGAACCGTGTGTGAAAGTCCATTGAATTGGTCCCCATGAAGGAATGGGGCGGGGGTGTGAAAAGGTCCTCATGAGGCATGTCCCCGACCATAGATGTGTGTATGTGCAAATAAGTTTGTTTTCATCTGTCAATCTATGATTTGTGCACTGCTGGTAGTACTTTGGCCTTCTTGGGTGGTTATATTAAATTAAATTTGTGATCTCTGTTTGAGATGGTGATTATTATAGTGTGTTATTGTAAATCCTCATACCTTCTGTTTCCCACAGATGACCCACGTGACAGCAGATTGCACTACTCCAGGTTCTGTTGATCATTCTGACCAGCCTCAGTGCCACATGAATACGTCATTTGCAAACGATGCCCCTCAGAAACAGGTAGGATAATTTTTATCAATCATGACAAAATACCAGAGGTTCTTTGTCAGTTCTGAAAAGGTTTTATAACATTTGAAGTCAATTATCTTAGATTTGTTTTGTGTCACTCATTAAACTATATTCAGTAAGTGGAATAGTGGAAGGAGAATACTTTAAGCCTTTTTTGGTCTTTGCAGACAAGGACTTTTTACTTAAATGTTTCTTTCAAATTAACCCTCACGATGTCCCCATAAAACACTTTGAGTGACTTCTATTAAACATGTGTGAAAGACCATTGAATTGGTCCCCGTAAAGGAGGAATGGAAGTGTGTGAAATGGTCATCAAAATGTCCCCATAACACACTTTGAGTGACTGCTGATGAGTTGAACCGTGTGTGAAAGTCCATTGAATTGGTCCCCATGAAGGAATGGGGCGGGGGTGTGAAAAGGTCCTCATGAGACATGTCCCCGACCCTAGATGTGTGTATGTGTAAATACGTTTGTTTTACATCTGTCAAACTATGATTTGTGTACTTCTGGTAGTACTTTGGCCTTCTTGGGTGGTTCTATTAAATTAAATTTGTGATCTCTGTTTAAGACGGTGATTATTCAAGTGTTTTATAGTAAATCCTCATACCTTCTGATTCACACAGATGACCCACGTGACAGCAGATTGCACTACTCCAGGTTCTGTTGATCATTCTGACCAGCCTCAGTGCCACATGAATACGTCATTTGCAAACGATGCCCCTCAGAAACAGGTAGGATAATTTTTATCAATCATGACAAAATTCCAGAGGTTCTTTGTCAGTTCTGAGAAAGCTTTTCAACATTTGAAGTCATTTGTATAAGATTTGTCATGTGTAACTCATTAAACTATATTCAGTAAGTGGAATAGTGGAAGGAGAATACTTTAAGCCTTTTTTTGTCATTGCAGACAAGGACTTTTTACATAAATGTTTCTTTCAAATGAACCCTCACGATGTCCCCATAAAACACTTTGAGTGACTTCTATTAAACATGTGTGAAAGTCCATTGAATTGGTCCCCGTAAAGGAGGAATGGAAGTGTGTGAAATGGTCATCAAAATGTCCCCATAACACACTTTGAGTGACTGCTGATGAGTTGAACCGTGTGTGAAAGTCCATTGAATTGGTCCCCATGAAGGAATGGGGCGGGGGTGTGAAAAGGTCCTCATGAGACATGTCCCCGACCCTAGATGTGTGTATGTGTAAATACGTTTGTTTTACATCTGTCAAACTATGATTTGTGTACTTCTGGTAGTAATTTGGCCTTCCTGGGTGGTTCTATTAAATTAAATTTGTGATCTCTGTTTAAGACGGTGATTATTCAAGTGTTTTATAGTAAATCCTCATACCTTCTGATTCACACAGATGACCCACGTGACAGCAGATTGCACTACTCCAGGTTCTGTTGATCATTCTGACCAGCCTCAGTGCCACATGAATACGTCATTTGCAAATGATGCCCCTCAGAAACAGGTAGGATAATTTGTATCAATCATGACAAAATTCCAGAGGTTCTTTGTCAGTTCTGAGAAAGCTTTTCAACATTTGAAGTCATTTGTATAAGATTTGTCATGTGTAACTCATTAAACTATATTCAGTAAGTGGAATAGTGGAAGGAGAATACTTTAAGCCTTTTTTTGTCATTGCAGACAAGGACTTTTTACTTAAATGTTTCTTTCAAATGAACCCTCACGATGTCCCCATAAAACACTTTGAGTGACTTCTATTAAACATGTGTGAAAGTCCATTGAATTGGTCCCCGTAAAGGAGGAATGGAAGTGTGTGAAATGGCCATCAAAATGTCCCCATAACACACTTTGAGTGACTGCTGATGAGTTGAACCGTGTGTGAAAGTCCATTGAATTGGTCCCCATGAAGGAATGGGGCGGGGGTGTGAAAAGGTCCTCATGAGGCATGTCCCCGACCCTAGATGTGTGTATGTGCAAATAAGTTTGTTTTACATCTGTCAAACTATGATTTGTGTACTTCTGGTAGTACTTTGGCCTTCTTGGGTGGTTCTATTAAATTAAATTTGTGATCTCTGTTTAAGACGGTGATTATTCAAGTGTTTTATAGTAAATCCTCATACCTTCTGATTCACACAGATGACCCACGTGACAGCAGATTGCACTACTCCAGGTTCTGTTGATCATTCTGACCAGCCTCAGTGCCACATGAATACGTCATTTGCAAACGATGCCCCTCAGAAACAGGTAGGATAATTTTTATCAATCATGACAAAATTCCAGAGGTTCTTTGTCAGTTCTGAGAAAGCTTTTTAACATTTGAAGTCATTTGTATAAGATTTGTCACGTGTAACTCATTAAACTATATTCAGTAAGTGGAATAGTGGAAGGAGAATACTTTAAGCCTTTTTTGGTCATTGCAGACAAGGACTTTTTACCTAAATGTTTCTTTCAAATGAACCCTCACGATGTCCCCATAAAACACTTTGAGTGACTTCTATTAAACATGTGTGAAAGTCCATTGAATTGGTCCCCGTAAAGGAGGAATGGAAGTGTGTGAAATGGCCATCAAAATGTCCCCATAACACACTTTGAGTGACTGCTGATGAGTTGAACCGTGTGTGAAAGTCCATTGAATTGGTCCCCATGAAGGAATGGGGTGGGGGTGTGAAAAGGTCCTCATGAGACATGTCCCCGACCCTAGATGTGTGTATGTGCAAATAAGTTTGTTTTACATCTGTCAAAATATGATTTGTGGACTTCTGGTAGTACTTTGGCCTTCTTGGGTGGTTCTATTAAATTAAAATTGTGATCTCTGTTTAAGACGGTGATTATTCAAGTGTTTTATAGTAAATCCTCATACCTTCTGATTCACACAGATGACCCACGTGACAGCAGATTGCACTACTCCAGGTTCTGTTGATCATTCTGACCAGCCTCAGTGCCACATGAATACGTCATTTGCAAACGATGCCCCTCAGAAACAGGTAGGATAATTTGTATCAATCATGACAAGATTCCAGAGGTTCTTTGTCAATTCTGAGAAAGCTTTTTAACATTTGAAGTCATTTGTATAAGATTTTTCATGTGTAACTCATTAAACTATATTCAGTAAGTGGAATAGAAGGAGAATACTTTAAGCCTTTTTTGGTCATTGCAGACAAGGACTTTTTACTTAAATGTTTCTTTCAAATGAACCCTCACGATGTCCCCATAAAACACTTCTGTTGAGTTTAATCATGTGTGAAAGTCCATTGAAACGGTCCCCGTAAAGAAGGAATGGAAGTGTGTGAAATAGCCCTCACAATGTCCCCATAGCACACCTGGAGTGACTGCTGATGAGTTGATCAGTGTGTGAAAGTCCATTGAATTGGTCCCCATGAAGGAATTGAGAGGGGTGTGAAAAGGTCCTCATGAGACGTGTCCCCGACCCTAGATGTGTGTATGTACAAACAAGTTGGTTTTACATCAGTCAAACTATGATTTGTGTACTGCTGGTAGTATTTGGGACTGCTTGAGTGGTCTTTTGATTTTAATTTGTAATCACTGTTTTAGACGGTGATTATTTTAGTGTTCAATTGTAAATCCTCATACCTTCTGTCTCCCACAGATGACACTTATACCACAGATTTTTTGATCATTCTGACCAGCCTCAGTCCCACATGAATACGTCATTTGGAAACGATGCCAATCAGAAACAAGTAGGATCCTATTCATCAATCATGACAAAATACCAGAGATTCCTTGTCAGTCCTGAGAAAGCTTTTTTAACCTTTGAAGACAATTATACAATATTTTTTATGTGTAAGTCATTTAACTATATTCAGTAAATGGATAGTGGAAGAGTGGATGAGTGAGTTCTGTTGAGTTTAATTATGTGTGTGAGTCCGTTGAATTGGTCCCCATAAATAAGGAATGGAGTGGGGTGTGAAAAGGTCCTCAAGAGAAGTGTTGTCGTTTTTTGTCTTGTTTGTTTATATTAGTTTTTTTTTATTTACAGATTCTTGCACAGCACACATGGGAAGTCGATTATGTACCAAAACTGATAAGGACAAAAAGTGTCATAGTAAGTCAGTACAAAATGTACCTATAAAACTTGTTATCATCCAGTGAAGTTAAATGTGTCATTCATTTATTTTGTAAGTATTTTTTTTCAATGAATTGCATTCTGACTGTTTTTTTTTTTACTTTTTTGGAATTCTTAGTTGTTAAAATGTTTTTTCTTGTTTTATTCAGATGAAAGACACAAATCATCTTGACTGTGAGTTTTATGATTCTACAATGGATAGTTCAGACAACTATGTCCCAGATACCTCGTCTGATTCAGAAAGTGATAGTGATCCAAACTTCGTCATGAAACAAAATTACAACTCATTCTTGATGATTCTATCCCTGCAAACAATCTTGAATGGGACTTCACAACTTCATTCAAGATGCTAAGATGTGTTTCAGCTGAAACATCTTCTGCAGTTGAACTCAGTTCAAGTCAGGCCACTACAAATATGGCTGTTAAGGCATACAACAAAAATGGTGTACAAAGAATATATGACGAAAGACATTTTTTTGCTCTGCATTTGAAGCAAAATGTGCTTTCATCAAGAAATAAGCTGTTCACAATCCTAGCAATAAAAAATATAAAATTGGTTAATAAAGGCACATTTACAAAGACAGTCTGTGCATTCTTTGGCCTTAACATTGTACTTATTAGATTTACAAAGGGTCCCCATGAGTAAATTATAAAAGTGTGTGAATTATGCAAAAAATATGCAAATCTGGTCCTTCTAAGTGACATTGACTCGTTTTTTTATAGGTCCCCACAGTACACTGCCAGAATATCATTTCATCAATTGACACATTTTAAGATGTGTATATGCTTACAATGTTTTGTTAAGTAACTCAATTTTTTTTTATGACTCTAGAACCTCTAGAAAGGGTGGTCCCCACATGTGATGATTTGAAACCTGGTCCCCATCAAGAATGGAAACCAGTATGTGTGTGTGTGTGTGTGTGTGTGTGTGTGTGTGTGTGTGTGTGTGTGTGTGTGTGTGTGTGTGTGTGTGTGTGTGTGTGTGTGTGTGTGTGTGTGTGTGTGTGTGTGTGTGTGCGCCTGTGTGTGTGTGTCCTCCACATTCTCTTTAGTTTGAGTCTCAGAGACCCTGGATCTCAGAGACCCTGGTCCTCAAGAGACCCTGGACCTCAGAGACCCTGGTCCTCAAAGACCCTGGTCCTCAGAGACCCTGGTCCTCAGACACCCTGGTCCTCAAGAGACCCTGGACCTCAGAGACCCTGGTCCTCAGAGACCCTGGTCCTCAAAGACCCTGGTCCTCAGAGACCCTGGTCCACAGAGACCCCCGTCCTCAGAGACCCTGGTCCTCAGAGACCCTGGTCCTCAAAGACCCTGGATCTCAGAGACCCTGGACCTCAGAGACCCTGGTCCTCAGAGACCCTGGTCCTCAAAGACCCTGGTCCTCAGAGACCCTGGTCCACAGAGACCCCCGTCCTCAGAGACCCTGGTCCTCAAAGACCCTGGATCTCAGAGACCCTGGATCTCAGAGACCCTGGATCTCAGAGACCCTGGTCTTCAGAGACCCTGGTCTTCAGAGACCCTGGATCTCAGAGACCCTGGATCTCAGAGACCCTGGTTCTCAGAGACCCTGGTCCTCAGAGACCCTGGTCCTCAGAGACCCTGGTCCTCAGAGACCCTGGTCCTCAGAGACCCTGGTCCACAGAGACCCTGGTCCTCAGAGACCCTGGTCCACAGAGACCCTGGTCCTCACAGTCAACAGTGCGAGATTGTATTAAAACATAAATAAAAGAGATGATCTTTTCCATAAGAGGTTTAATGAGGGAGGCCTTCACCGTCCTCCGCTAACACGATGCTTGTTCTCAATACCAATGATCTACAAATAAAAGTCATAATGTCTGGGCTGAGAACATATGAAGTGCACAGATTATGATTTACATGGAGTTACCGTAGCAACGGAAAAATCTATGTTCTGTTTTTTTAACATTCATTCACTTTCATGCCCTTTATTAGTCCATTTCTGTGTCGAAGAGGTGCAAAGGATGGAAGACACAACAAAGACACAGCCTTGGTGTTTCAACGGGGGCTTCAGGCAAAGTGGGGTTAAGTGTCTTGCCAAATGACACAATGACAGCAGACAAAGGGGAAAGAATCATGGGAGACTTGAACCCCTCAAACAGTAAATATATTGAGAAACTGTTTGGTTTCCATTAAAACTTCCCCATCTACGAATATGTAATTTTTAGTGATTTCTGTACATTTATTTTTACACCTGTGGATAATAAAGGTGTCCAAGAAATAATCTCTAGTCTCTACTACCCGGTTTCTGAAGTCCATTCTGATCAGTCTGTAACCTTCACTCATAGATAATAAACATGTCTCTACAATCTGGAACATTCCCAAAGCTCCTGAAAACTGTCATCGGGCCCCTGCTAAAAAGAGAAGTCTGGATGCCACGGTCCGTAACTATGAGCGTTCCATCTCACAACAGTCATTTATAGAAAAAGTCCAGAAACTTTCCAGAAATGCTCTTAACCGTAACCCCAACAGCTTTTCAAATGTATTATCATCAACTACTTATTTGATATGTTCCAGTCTGGCTTTAGACCCCACCGCAGACTCAGACCGGTCTCATCAGGGCAACATCCGACTGAACTGAAAGGATTCTTTGAGTGGAGTGAGTGGAGTTTGCATGTTCTCCCCGTGTCTGCGTAGGTTTCCTCCGGGTACTACGGTTTCCCCTACCACTAAAAAAATGTACAATAGTTCTGGCATGTGCCACTGGCCCCGCTCCCATCTCTGTGTGGAGTGAGAGACAAGTGCCCAAAAAATAACAATTGTAAACTGCTTTGTGACTCTGGTCTGTGAAAGGCGGTGTATAAATAAAGCTTACTTACTTACTACCACAAAGGCCAAGTCCCAGAAGTGGACACCAGCAAGAATGCCCCGACATCAAACCTTTACCACAGTCAGTGTAGAAATGGAGCAAAAGCATTTTCTCGATTGTGAAAAGAAACGAGAGAAACCGCTGCGTCGTCATCGTCTGTGGGAATCTGTTACAGACGTTTTCTCTCGTCACGGCGCCAAAAGCTCGGTCAAAACTTCTCAGTCTGAAAATAACTGTAAGTCTATGTCAGAAAGACGTGTGAAGATTACGTTTTGAACCTTTAAACTATTCAAATTAAATAAAGGCAGTGGACACAGAGGACTGAAAATCCAACATCACATCATAATGTTTTGTTATTTTATTGAATAATAATAATACATCAAACTTGTATAGCGCTTTTTTGGACGCTCAAAGACGCTTCACATGGGGAATAAAATAAAATACAGTAATAAAAGGGGTTAGGGTTTGAGACTGATTTAAAGTTTGTTAGTGAGTCAGCGTTTCTAATGGGCAGTGGGAGTGAGTTCCAGAGGGTTGGGTCGATGGCAAAGGCTCTGTCCCCCAAGATCAGAAGGCGGCGGGTGGGTTGGTGCTGTTGTAGGAGCTCAGTATGGTAGGGGGCGGGTTGGTGCTGTTGTAGGAGCTCAGTATGGTAGGGGGTGGGTTGGTGCTGTTGTAGGAGCTCAGTATGGTAGGGGGTGGGTTGGTGCTGTTGTAGGAGCTCAGTATGGTAGGGGGCGGGTTGGTGCTGTTGTAGGAGCTCAGTATGGTAGGGCGTGGGTTGGTGCTGTTGTAGGAGCTCAGTATGGTAGGGGGTGGGTTGGTGCTGTTGTAGGAACTCAGTATGGTAGGGGGTGGGTTGGTGCTGTTGTAGGAGCTCAGTATGGTAGGGGGCGGGTTGGTGCTGTTGTAGGAGCTCAGTATGGTAGGGGGTGGGTTGGTGCTGTTGTAGGAGCTCAGTATGGTAGGGGGTGGGTTGGTGCTGTTGTAGGAGCTCAGTATGGTAGGGGGTGGGTTGGTGCTGTTGTAGGAGCTCAGTATGGTAGGGGGTGGGTTGGTGCTGTTGTAGGAGCTCAGTATGGTAGGGCGTGGGTTGGTGCTGTTGTAGGAGCTCAGTATGGTAGGGGGTGGGTTGGTGCTGTTGTAGGAGCTCAGTATGATAGGGGGCGGGTTGGTGCTGTTGTAGGAGCTCAGTATGGTAGGGCGTGGGTTGGTGCTGTTGTAGGAGCTCAGTATGGTAGGGGGCGGGTTGGTGCTGTTGTAGGAGCTCAGTATGGTAGGGGGTGGGTTGGTGCTGTTGTAGGAGCTCAGTATGGTAGGGCGTGGGTTGGTGCTGTTGTAGGAGCTCAGTATGGTAGGGCGTGGGTTGGTGCTGTTGTAGGAGCTCAGTATGGTAGGGGGTGGGTTGGTGCTGTTGTAGGAGCTCAGTATGGTAGGGCGTGGGTTGGTGCTGTTGTAGGAGCTCAGTATGGTAGGGGGTGGGTTGGTGCTGTTGTAGGAACTCAGTATGGTAGGGGGTGGGTTGGTGCTGTTGTAGGAGCTCAGTATGGTAGGGGGCGGGTTGGTGCTGTTGTAGGATCTCAGTATGGTAGGGGGCGGGTTGGTGCTGTTGTAGGAGCTCAGTATGGTAGGGGGTGGGTTGGTGCTGTTGTAGGAGCTCAGTATGGTAGGGGGTGGATTGGTGCTGTTGTAGGAGCTCAGTATGGTAGGGGGTGGGTTGGTGCTGTTGTAGGAGCTCAGTATGGTAGGGGGTGGGTTGGTGCTGTTGTAGGAGCTCAGTATGGTAGGGGGTGGGTTGGTGCTGTTGTAGGAGCTCAGTATGGTAGGGGGTGGGTTGGTGCTGTTGTAGGAGCTCAGTATGGTAGGGGGCGGGTTGGTGCTGTTGTAGGAGCTCAGTATGGTAGGGGGCGGGTTGGTGCTGTTGTAGGAGCTCAGTATGGTAGGGGGTGGGTTGGTGCTGTTGTAGGAGCTCAGTATGGTAGGGGGTGGGTTGGTGCTGTTGTAGGAGCTCAGTATGGTAGGGCGTGGGTTGGTGCTGTTGTAGGAGCTCAGTATGGTAGGGGGTGGGTTGGTGCTGTTGTAGGAGCTCAGTATGGTAGGGGGTGGGTTGGTGCTGTTGTAGGAGCTCAGTATGGTAGGGCGTGGGTTGGTGCTGTTGTAGGAGCTCAGTATGGTAGGGGGCGGGTTGGTGCTGTTGTAGGAGCTCAGTATGGTAGGGGGCGGGTTGGTGCTGTTGTAGGAGCTCAGTATGGTAGGGGGTGGGTTGGTGCTGTTGTAGGAGCTCAGTATGGTAGGGGGTGGGTTGGTGCTGTTGTAGGAGCTCAGTATGGTAGGGGGCGGGTTGGTGCTGTTGTAGGAGCTCAGTATGGTAGGGGGTGGGTTGGTGCTGTTGTAGGAACTCAGTATGGTAGGGGGTGGGTTGGTGCTGTTGTAGGAGCTCAGTATGAAAGGGGGTGGGTTGGTGCTGTTGTAGGAGCTCAGTATGGTAGGGGGTGGGTTGGTGCTGTTGTAGGAGCTCAGTATGGTAGGGGGTGGGTTGGTGCTGTTGTAGGAGCTCAGTATGGTAGGGCGTGGGTTGGTGCTGTTGTAGGAGCTCAGTATGGTAGGGGGTGGGTTGGTGCTGTTGTAGGAGCTCAGTATGGTAGGGGGTGGGTTGGTGCTGTTGTAGGAGCTCAGTATGGTAGGGGGTGGGTTGGTGCTGTTGTAGGAGCTCAGTATGGTAGGGGGCGGGTTGGTGCTGTTGTAGGAGCTCAGTATGGTAGGGGGTGGGTTGGTGCTGTTGTAGGACTCAGTATGGTAGGGGGTGGGTTGGTGCTGTTGTAGGAGCTCAGTATGGTAGGGGGTGGGTTGGTGCTGTTGTAGTAGCTCAGTATGGTAGGGGGGTGGTGTGAGTCAGTATGGTAGGGGGTGGGTTGGTGCTGTTGTAGGAGCTCAGTATGGTAGGGGGTGGGTTGGTGCTGTTGTAGGAGCTCAGTATGGTAGGGGGTGGGTTGGTGCTGTTGTAGGAGCTCAGTATGGTAGGGGGTGGGTTGGTGCTGTTGTAGGAGCTCAGTATGGTAGGGGGTGGGTTGGTGTGTTGTGCTGTTGTAGGAGCTCAGTATGGTAGGGGGTGGGTTGGGCTGTTGTAGGAGCTCAGTATGGTAGGGGGTGGGTTGGTGCTGTTGTAGGAGCTCAGTATGGTAGGGCGTGGGTTGGTGCTGTTGTAGGAGCTCAGTATGAAAGGGGGCGAGGCCAGGTTATGGAGGGACTCGTAGGTGAGGAGGAGGAGCTTGTGATGGATGCAGTATTGAACGGGAGCCAGTGGAGCTGCTGGAGGACAGGGGTGATGTGTTCTCTGGACCGGGTGGAGGTTAGGAGGAGGCTGCAGAGTTCTGGATGTATTGCAGTTTTTGGAGATGAGTGGTGGGAAGTCCGTAGAGGAGGCTGTTGCAGTTGTCGAGTCTGGAGGTGATGAATGCGTGGATGAGGATTTGGGCTGTTGACTGGGTCAGGGAGGGGCGGAGGCGGCCAATGTGGCGGAGGTGGAAGAAGGAGGTTTTGGTGATATATGAGAGGGTGGAGTCCATTATGATGCCGAGGTTGCGTACAGAGGGTGAGGGGGTGACAATGTACGGAGGACCTTTCTGATGATGAGGACATTAAGGATGCTATATGCTCAGGCCAATACTGCACAGACCAGGTCAAAATTAGGCTCTACTGCACACCTCTGTACACGGCTTATCTTTGGTCCTACTACAGAAAAGGATCTATGCAAAAACTACAGGTGGCTTATAATGAGGCTCCGAGTGCTTCTGAGGAGGCCGAGGTGGACCAGTGCGAGTGAGATGTTTGTCTCTGCAGGAGTCCACACCTTTAGGCCACCAGGGGGCACTCATGTACAGCTTCATTGGACGATTGAACAGGTGTCAATGAAATAGTTGTGTCACTGGTTGATATCCGTTGTAGTGCGGTCCGCTATCAGTCGAGGATGTGGGCGCACTGTAGCCTGGTCGTACCACACCATAGTACGAATTACATTTCGTACTAAGGTCTGGAGTTGCTCCATTGACTCTGTTTACAGGTGGGAGGGGTTAACTCCTTTTGCAGATTGAAACGATTGGATCTGAGTTTACTGTGACGTATGTAATGCACCCGAGTCTGTTGTTAGCATTTAGCCTAGCTTTAGCCATCTCTTGTGCCACTAACAGAGCCCGTGGGGAGAAGCGCCACATTTTTTTCCCAGAGATTACATTTGCTAAACATTCCTCTTGCTCCGGCTTCAGTTTCTTGATAGAACCAGACCAGAATACTTTACTATCGTATTTTTTGCCATTGTCAAACTACAACCTGTCCGTTCGACGCAAACTCTTGACGTCACCCACAACTAACTACAACACCTGCCTCCCGCGCTCTCTGATTCGTCGGTCAAAATTCAACCGATTGTATTCGCTAACACAGGGACTAGACCCAGACGTTACATGCAGGACATGATGAATGAGCGGAGAGTATGGATGGATAAGGCCGGGCTAGGCGCACTGGTTTAGTTGTCTTCTGTCTTTTTGACTTGTATGTCTTGTTCTTTTTTTGTGTGTGACAATGTTGGACCGTAATAAAAGCTTCATTCATTCATTCAATGTGACCGTCAACGAGGAGGGTAAATAGAAGTCCCGGTTCGAAACAGACCCTGATGCGCAGGGGTCTGTTCTGCCCTGAAGGTACTTTGACCTGTTCTTTACATTCTCTCATTATGCAGCAGTTGACGATGAATGTACTTGAGGCGGTTTCAGGCCAAAAGCTTTAACTTTGCGGAGGATCGTGTCAGCATTTACACAAAGTATTTTTAGCCGGTCGTATATAAGCGTGTCCTCTGTTTCCGTGTGTGAAAGTGCTGCTTTTGGAACGTCAGAGCGATTCATCAAAACGCTGAAAACACGCCGTGCAGGACGCCGTGCAGGACGCCGTGCAGGACGCCGTGCAGGACGCCGTGCAGGACGCCGTGATGCTGATGTGGCTTTAAAGTTCAACGTTAGAGTTTCTGAGCCGTGTGGGTCTCAGTGCCACAGGGAAGAGCCGTGGGTCTGGACTCTCTCTCATCACACCGAACACAAACCAGTCCAGGCATAGGCAAGTTTATTTGTATAGCACAATTCATACACAAGGCAACTCAAAGTGCTCATAGCCTGGTCGTACCACACCATAGTATGAATTACATTTCATACTAAGGTCTGGATTTGGTCCATTGACTCCGTGAACAGGTGGGAGGGGCTAACTCCTTTTGCAGATTGGAACTATTGGATCTGAGTTTACTGTGACGTATGTAATGAGCCCAAGTCTGTCGTTAGCATTTAGCATTTAACATGTAGCCTAGCTTTAGCCATCTCCTGTGCCACTAACAGAGCCCGTGGGGAGAAGCGCCAAATTTTTTTCCCAGAGATTACATTTGCTAAACATTCCTCTTGCTCCGGCTTCAGTTTCTTGATAGAACCAGAGCAAAATACTTTACTATCGCATTTTTCGCCATTACCAAACTACAACCTTCCCGTTCGACGCAAACTCTTGACGTTACCTACAACTAACTACAACACCCGCCTCCCGCGCTCTCTGATTGGTCGGTCGAAATTCAACCGATTGTATTTGCTAACACAGGGACCAGACCCAGACGTTACCTGCAGGACATGATGATTGACAGGAGAGTACGGATGGATAAGGCCAGAGCAGTCCAGGCAAAGACTCAGAGCGAACTATTCCATCTCTGAGTCTGCGGACGCTCTCTGTAGGCTCCTCACACACAACGTCTACAGCGCCATTTTTCATCCGTGCGGAGAATGTAATTAAAAGTCTAATCTACTCTCTAAGATTTCTGCTCTGATGTGAGGCCCCAGGTCCCAGGGAGGACATCTGGGTTAAAACGCTCTGTATCTGTGTGTGCTTCCTGTTTTCAACCAATATAATCTTTATCATCAAAATAGAGATAAAACTTTCTCTAAACATGATATTAAACTGTATCCAGAGAATAAAGAAAAGTCTTGTTATGGAATAAATGATTAAAGTAGAAATATGTAAGAATTTAAAGTTTTCATTAAATAGTTGTGGCCCTCTGCCTCGCTAACCCACAGTAGTCTCAGAAATCATAAACACATGTTCAGTGTATCATCCATCCAACTTCAGCTCAGCCAATATAGACCTTGTTCTAAAGCCCAGTACGTCCTTGACTGTATTTGTACATACAGTGCTGACGTGGTTTTTGGTTGTTACAAACTTTCATGGTGCTGCTGTAGCTGGTGAGATGGTAAACATGTGTCATTCAGCCAACTTCAGCTCTGATCATTTTAAAGCTCAGAACAGCCCGATGCCAGTCAGAAACTTATAACTCACAGAAAAAAGACATGAACGCAGGACTGAGGCTGTAGACCCAGGACTGAGGCTGTAGACCCAGGACTGAGGCTGTAGACCCAGGACTGAGGCTGTAGACCCAGGACTGAGGCTGTAGACCCAGGACTGAGGCTGTAGACCCAGGACTGAGGCTGTAGACCCAGGACTGAGGCTGTAGACCCAGGACTGAGGCTGTAGACCCAGGACTGAGGCTGTAGACCCAGGACTGAGGCTGTAGACCCAGGACTGAGGCTGTAGACCCAGGACTGAGGCTGTAGACCCAGGACTGAGGCTGTAGACCCAGGACTGAGGCTGTAGACCCAGGACTGAGGCTGTAGACCCAGGACTGAGGCTGTGGACCCAGGACTGAGGCTGTAGACCCAGGACTGAGGCTGTAGAC